TATGCATGAATGTCGTATGTGTACGTACAGTTTAAACTTCGTTACACCAGGCAGGCAGACGAGATTCATTATAAGTATTGTTATCTCTAGAGCTGTAAAAGTAACGACAAATTTGGTATTCGTATGTACTTGTTACTGAACCAAGTAGTACTCCTTATATCAGTATCTTTATGTTAATAGTTACTTTTGAAACAATTGACTGGGGTTCATTTAAATCTAGTAGATACCTGAATCTCTATATTCTGCTCTTTTTATTAAGTCGCAACTACATGTAGCCTCTTTTTATAATACATTCCCTGCTCTGCAGTTACAAGAAACTGATCGTATATACGAACTTTTAAAAATAACTACAGTAACTTTAGATATGACTAGCTACTATTACAGAAAAAAGTTAGTCGGTGTAAAAATATAAAATTTTATTTTCTCGTAACAACTGTTACAATAATTTTTCTTTTTCGGTACATGATGATTACAAGCAGTACTTAAAATACTTTAGTAACCAGGTAACTAAAGTAACTAGGACCTAATGGTAACTACAAGTATTTTAAAGTACAGGCAAGGTACTTCGTTACTGCTGCTATACCTGTTACACTAGTCGTTACGTACCGTTAGCAACAACTCTACGCATCTCTTTGCAATGCTAAGTGAGAGGATTTCATTCCGAAGGAATAATGACAGCGCCTCAGGCGCACAATTTTTTGTTTTGTTGTGTAAAAATGAATTTTTACATTTAATAACCATCAATCTGACCACGGAAAAACCTATTTGTGCATAATTACGCTGAGTACCTACTTTTTCTTTTATTACCTACCTAATTAAATATTGGCATGTTTATGTGTTTAATACTTACACAAATATATCCTTACATATTTTCGAGTCACGATTTTGAACGTGATAAACTCCAGAACTTCGTACTTGACAGTTCTTTAGAATTAATTCACTATGTGTAATTTAAATCAACTTAAAATATAGTACACTATATAACCAAATGTCTAATAAATATCAAATCACTAACTATCAGGGTGGTCGGTAGTGGCGGAAGAATAACTGTCACTCGCACACTCCCTTCATGCCTAGTTAATGTGTCAATCAAACGTTTTATTGGTATAAAATAAATTTAACCTATAAATTTATTTTATACCAATACAACGCTAAAAATATAGAATAATTTTAACTCATTATATCTTCCACTATACATTACATAAAATTATCTATTTATAATTATTATATAGTTTTATTTTATTCCCTTTTTCAACATTTTTAAAGGTTGTTTACAATTGTAAACATTATACAAAATGAATATATATCACTATAGTGAGAGTATTTAAGAGATCCCGAATACTGAATTCCGTATGATGGACAATTTGAAACCGTCCTTCTTATTAACGTTATGATATTTGTAAATTTCATTTTAATTCGTGATCATTGTTTAACATCCACTACCATCTTCAGTTGACCCGTGACCAAAACCTACGAGTATGTGTCAGCATTGGAACATCGGGATGTCTTAAATAATATTATGATGGTAAATATCTCGCTTATATAATTTTTGTAAATTTTTTTCTTTCTTTCCCGAATTATATCATAACAATTTCATAACGACATACCTATAGGAATAGAGTTCTGTATATATAAGATACTAATGTTACCTAATGACCTATTATTAATCTAAATAACTTTATACAGTTTTGATTTTTTGTTATAGATCATAAAATTTATAAATTATATCTGTCAAAGGTTCAACAAGAAATAATATTTTATAATTAATTAATTAACCGATTTGTGATTATACAATTATGCTAGCTAGAATACTTTTTTCTAATATAATTCTATTCCGTTCTTTACTTTTAAAAATTAATGACAACATCCATATAAATCTAAATGAAAATTTTTGAAACAAAAAACGTAAACTACATTATTCAAAAGCAACAGCCGTCCAACGTTAATCGATTTCTGCGTGAAATGTCAACAGGAATATTAAATAAATCGCCTGGGAAAATAAAATTACAGCAGTGTTTGGAAACCAAACGACAAAGGGTTCGTTTGTTACCGTCCCAGTCCACAGTTCGTAACGAAAACGATCACAATTATGAAAAAAAGTGTGAAGAATAGATATCCAAACGTAAACACCGAGCAGATACATTGTTATTTCACAATCCCATAAATATTGTGTCATAATAATGCGAGTGTTTATCGTTTAGCGGATTAATTGTGGTAATTTAAAAATATAGCTATATTTGTATTGTATTCTCATATATTAGCTGATTACCAGCGAGAAAGAATAATCAAAAGACGTCCTCGTGATATACTCTATCTTTACGTCAAGTTTCATTAGGATTCATTCAGCCATTAAGACAATTAAGAAAATATAAACAAATAGAGAGACTCAGTTTTGAATTTATAATATTACTAAGGATAAATACCTATATTATAATATATGTCATTGAAATATGTATTGCACTTTAGAAATAAGAATATATTAAAATAAATATCCGTTAATTTAAAATGCACATTATTATTAGCTCCGAATTCTAATTCTAAATGAATATTCATTTTCAGTGAACTTTTAAAAGTAAATTTTAGGATTCGACATTAAAAAGGTAAACCGAAATCCTCATGACCATCGTCGTCTGTCCGTCATCTTCGTTGTTAAAGAGCTGTATAGCAGAAAGTAGGCCTATGGGTGGTTTTCGAAACTCCTCTTCTTTCTATACTTCTTTTTAACTAAGTTACTGATTTAAAAAAACTGAAATAATTACTTTCGTCATATAGATATCACTCGCTCAGTACAATACTGGATTAACAAAAAAAATTTATTACTTGAAAAACCCACCAACCATTGAAGATTTAGTTTTCAAGTCTAATTTCTAAAATTTGTAATTTATGGGATAAAAAGCTTCATTTTTTATTATAAAATGTTACATACAACTTATATTTTAGATACTTATATATGTACCATATATGATAATAATAATTTGTAGATACAACTATTTATATTATGATACTGAAACTATTAGACGAAATAATATACTTTGATTATAAAATTATTGTTTTACTGGTTATTTACGTTTTAGATCTGTACTATATATAATGTGATATCGAGATCATGAACTTGGGATACGCCAACAATTTCTTATTCTTAATTGATTAATGAGTTTCCAATACTTTTCTCTTTCTTGCAAAGTTGCGTCGCTGTTTTGAAACATTAGAGAATATTTGGTCTTATTTCATCAACCCCCTCAGGGTTACGCTGTACTAACATCAGATTTAATCTAATATCCGATTAGAAACTGATTTAATCTCATCAAATGTTATCATGTACTCAAGTAAATAATATTAAATATATATATATATATCATATAAATAATATAAATCTCTAGTTACTACAATACAGGCCTGCAAGCCTAGTGTAGAACTACAGCAAATTAAAAATTCAAATATGTAAAAATAAATATAATTATTCTTATATACATTTACTTGTACAGGAATATTAATATAAATTAAAAAGTAAACAAGATCTAAGATCCTTTTGTTTCACAAAAAAATAAACCGCCTACCAGCAAAATATATATGGAACCGGTAAACCTTATCGATTGTAAAAACAACCATCAATATACGTTCAATTTAATGGCGAAGAGATAACTCAATATTCGTGGAATGGAAATTCTCAATTGAAAGGTATTTTTTTATATTACGCAATACCATCCTCAAAAATAACCGTATTTAGATAATTCGTTTAATAGTATATAGGAATTGCTGCAGTTATAATCATTCACAGTAAAAAAACTATAGTTAATTTGCAACACTAGCTGACGCTGAGCCTTCGAATAAGTTTTGCGCCACACTCGAATAAATTTTGTGTTTATAATCTGATTGGAAAAAACAAACACAATATTTTAAGTGAATCATCCCACAATGCATTAGTGAAAAAGTCACTCAAATCAGTTAAACTGTTTCTGAAATTAACGTGCTCCAACGCGCAGACAAACAGACAACAATTTTAACAATAATTGATTTGGGTCGTATAACTTTTATGAAGTCCCGCAATAGTAGTTTTCTCTTCATGTACATATCGATCAGTTACATTACAGATATAATAATATCTACAACAATAAAGATGCAATTTTTCTTCTTAAGTAAAATATATATACTACCCACCTACTTATAATTTACTAGACTGGGCGACAAAATTATCTTTGACGACGTCAACTATCTTCACTTTCACTACGCGATGACATTTGGCGGTTATTATGTATATACTGTCTACTACGACTAATGTAAAAACTATATTGTGTTTACAATTTTCAATTTTCTTTTAGCTTGTGTCTGGTTATTCTATAGGTACAATGACGTAAATTCAATCACAGTACTGATATCGCGGTTGTATAACGATGAAAATTAATGACAGAACTCTGGAATAAAAACGTAACCATATCAAATTGTATCCATGATTCTATTTCATTATCAGCTATTAGTTAAATACTTATCATGGGTTAATTAGTGACCAATAAATAGTTTTTAGAATTATTGAATTTTTAGAATGGTATATATGTGTTAGTGTTTTAATTTGACAAGGTTGACTTTTTACCTTGCCGAAAAGGACGTACAAACAAAACAAAAAAATAGTAACATGTCTCTCGTCTCTCGCTCTTGTACCAGAATTCTATTAGGTTCTGATGTAATATTTATTAATTGTTTTCAGAGTTATGAAGTAAAATTAAACCGCTATAATTTAGCAACTATTTAAACTTAATTCTTTGGTTTTGACTGTTTCTGAAATTCTTTCTGTATTGGTTGTCTAACCCATATCCTTGCATGTTTCTGAATATTTTAAATTAATCAATGTTAATTGCTATATTACCATTTTGTTTACTACAACATAAGGTTATTCAGTTCTATAAATAATATTAAATAGCAAATTTTGACCTCTAAATAGAAAAGTGACCTGATAAAAGTATATAGTTTTTGTAATATATTATCATTTGTTATTTGGTTTTCAGATGACACCTGATATGGCTGCGCAGAAATAAACAAAATTGGTTATATTAAAAATGGGAGTTTTAAGAATAATTTTCAACATAAAAGGATCAAATATGATGATATCAAACTCTAAAACAATGTTTACAGTGATCGTTTTGGTGTTAGTGAGTGTGGTGAATGCAAATGTGAACTCAACGACCAGTGAGGTGGCTATAGGCAAATCGCGAATGTTGTGGCTAAAGACTTTAATGGATCATCATTATTGGATGGAAATCGTTGACAGTACGCCCCTACCAAAACAATGTGAAGCAGACTTGAGGCGTTACATCACAGCATTGAATGATGGCCAGCTATGGGCTTCAAAAAGTAAGTAATTATACCTATCATGATTTCAGATAGCAATCTTTTTCATATCATCATATCATAGAAATCTCTCCTCTAGCAATTGTTAATTTTCTAAAACAATGGTTTAATTTGTAAATCTGGCTTTTTAAGTCTTTAATTACGAAAAAAAATATTCCTATGTAGGTATATCGTGACGATGTCGTGACAATTGTTAAGTTATTTTAAAGCGCTTATTACCATTAAAGTCGTTAATTACGATTTTAATCAATTGTGTTTGTTTATATTTTGACAAGCAGGTTCCTAACTAATATAAACGCGATATAAATATTACCTTGACCTAACAAAAAATCATAGTGCGTTCATTAACTTTATTGACCGTTATACATAACTTGTGCAGGCTATTTATTTGTAACTAGAAGCCGCCCCGACTTCGCACGGGTATTTCAATAAAGAGCCTTGCAGCGAGATTGCGTGACAAAAATTTAATCAACAATAAATTAAAACATCAAAATAAACATTGCCAATTCATATTAATTGATCTTATTAGCAGGATTAGATAACGTGCTTCTGACACAGGTTAGGTGGGTAAGTTACGTCTACATATTAATGTTTAAGTATGTTGTCGGTCGCCAAAATTTTATTGAAAATTTAAGAAATGACCTCATTTATATAATGCAATACTTACTAAATAATATTATTTAAATATTAATTTTAATACAATATCAATTAAATATATAAGTTTGAAAAATTAGTCCGTAAATTAAATTGAACCTCAAACTGTTAATTTTTCGGTTTAGTTTGACTATAGAACCTAAATTAGGTGTCGATGCTCTCACCTACATAAGTGTACGATTTAGTGTAATTGATAAAATTGTAGCCGAATTAGATTTTAGATAGGTATATGTACAAAATTTACGAAAATCTGTATTTAACGTTTGTTAAACAGTTAAACGCAATCCGATTACAGCTTAACAGTGTTCCGCACAAAGATTGTTGACCCGTTTTGTAATTGCGGCATGCGTATAGCAAACGCCTCTTTGCGTCACATTATATAAGAGTGGAGTGGAACTGTTATAAGAAAGCCACTGGTAGCCGGCGCGGCGGGTTACCGGCGAACTATTCGCTTCAAGTGGGTCGCTCACTCGCCCAGCAGGTAGCTCGTCACTTGCTGCACACACTTGCACTATTACTCTAATATATTACCTGTGGCCATTGTGTCACTCACTGCTGAATTTGTAAGGAGTTGCCTCTTTCGTTCCACCGCCGACTACCGAATCTCCTTGTTACTAACCAGCGTTACAACATATTTTTCAGTTAGTAGTTGAATAGCTTAGAATCTCGCATTATCAAATTTATTAGATTTTGTGTAATCAAACTTAGTTTATTTCCGAGAGTTTCTGAGATTAACGCATCAAAATAAGCAATCGCTACAGCTTATAATCAATTATATATTGATATAGAAATAACATCATAATATTCCCTTCATTTATCGTTCAATTCCCTTTATTTACCATGATATTCAAATCATTATCGACAGTTTATTCCCACCGACTGCGTTTGTAAGCCCGGCAGGAAGCTTTAAATTTATTACATTGTTATACCTTAAAACACCTAACACACCTTTAGTGTAAGATGAAAGTTTAATTAACTATAAAATTTGCTTTTAACTTTATTATGAAGTAATATTTTCTTGTTCAGCTGTAGGAGGCTCATATTTCGTTTCCTTTAATACTTGGGATAAGGCCAAGATCATTATAACAAGAATTTATACTTAGCCTTCATTTTCATAGATTTTAAACTTATTTTAAATATATAGGTAATGTGTAACATAAATTCAACATAATATTAATATTACCAGAGGGCGATTTTGTATAGTGGTCCGAGTTCTAGTAGTAGTACTTATGTCTCACCCAATTTTCACCACACCGCTGTGGTTGTTTTGTAACCTGTATCCTGATGTGGAGTAAGATATAGAGGCATAGCAACTGTTCTCGGCAAACGCAGTGCAAGACAATTATTATGTTACTGAGTATCTAGTTAACACAACATAATCTATGCTGCTAATGCAGCGACTGTCTTTCCATCATGTAGACTGTCAGTTTCTGTGCTATTTGATAAAAAAAATGTTGTTTAATATTAAGAATTATAATTTGTAAGAACTAATATAAAATAATAATATTTATTATCCAATTTTAAAATACAAAAATTAAACTTAACAGCGTAATTAAAGTAAAAAAAAACCGCCAAATCAAAATTAATAATTTTGTCCTATTTTACATTTTTAATTGATTCTCTACTTCTATTAGTCGTAGCGTGATGTTATATACATAGCCTTCTTCGACAAATGGCCTATTCAATACTAATTAGAATTAAATTCGTACTAGTTATTCCTGAGATTAAATTCGTGTTCAAACAAACAAACATTTTCTTCAGGTTCAAAATATTAGTATAAATTCTCTTTGTATCAACACATTGCAAACCTGTTTCTTTTTATACTTTTCGAAATTTTACATTCAAAGGTCAATATATCGTTGCTATGGGCTCAGTTTACTCATTGATAGTCATAAATCGTTTTGATACCCATCAGTCTCATCCCATTCGTCTCCAAAGACTCACTCCATAAATACTCTTCGCTGGGTTCTTCTTATTCATACAACGTGACTCAACTGCTAAGCGATTACATTTTTGCGTCAGTTTGTAGTTCAATCACATTTGCCATTTAGTTTGAATGGTAAGAGAGTTTACACTTAAAGGTCGCTCACAGACATGACGATTTTATTTTGTATTTAAAAAGTAAATTTATAATAAAAATGTAAACAGTAGGTATTACACAGTATATTTAATTTATGAAACAGTAACAATTTTATTAAATGAGTTATTAATTATAAATCAAATTAAATTATAATCATACATTAATAACAATATAATACAATCATCAATAGGTTCATAATACTCACATTCAAATTTCTTCCTTTCAACAAGTTTGTTCGAAAGTTGAGTCACATTTTTAATTAAATATAGTCAAGTGTATAATAATTAGGTCAGAAAATCGCGAATACAATTTTTTAATTAGGTTATTAGAAATATGAGAATAATAAGGACAAGAAAATAATATCTCTGTTTCATATAACATATTATTTTCTTTTCTGTTCCGATTGCTGTTCTCGACAAACCTGAGACGCTATATTGCTAACACTTGAGTCCATAGTGGCCTTTAATTAACCCCTTTCTTCCTATTTTTCTATGTATTATATATTTATTGAGATCACCTCTATCTTCAATGCTTGAAGGAACAAAATGTATACTTATTTGGATGAAATCGTAACCAGCGTATTAACAACTTTAAATGTAATAAAGACCAAATTCAAGGAATAGTTTGTGAGATTGCATGCGCGAAACAATTGATATTAACAAAGTAATCGACGTAATTGTAATCTTTGGGTACGAGTAACGTGACGTCACGTCGCTCGGTCGCCGACGAAAATTTCGAGCGGGAAAGTGCGCTTTCGTTTTCCATAAATAATCTATCTCTGTTATTTTAAAAACTCGAACAAAGGAAAACGACTGTCCTATTTTCTTCATTATGGTCAATAGTTAATCACAAATCATTGCATATTGAATTATATTATCTATTAAGATATCTGTTAAGCATACATATATTACTTTGTTAACATACCTTTGAATAAATATATGCTGAGATGGTCGACAATAACCCTCGTCCTATAGGAAGAAGCTCCATCGGCTAACATTACAATTATGTTTAAAATCTTTCCAATCATTGCACATACATACACATTACATTTTGTGTAACATTGTACCAGAATCTAGTTTTGTAAATCCATTCAGATTTATGAGACTCTTATATATATTCTCCCTCTCCTCTTCTCTTATATACTCCCGTCAACGGGAGTTCAAGTTTACCAAACGTTATGTCCGCCATTTATATAATAAAAATGATAATAATGTAGGCTCGTAATAATAATACATTTTATATGTGTTTAATAAAATTTAATTAAATATGTGAGTCTATTTCGTCTATCCTATGTCTGGCACTCATACTTTCACAGGACAATTGAATGTACATGAACACCAACTTCAAGTACTATCGAGAGACACAGACTTACGAGTACATATATCTACTTTACATAAAACATGCTATCCGATTGATGTATGCAAAGGAAACTACTGTAGGTATGCTTGCCTGGGAAATGTTTTATTTACCTACCTAGTGACTTGTACTCGTAGATGTAACTGAAATACATACCTATGTCTTCGAAAATATCCGCAGTCTCTTGTTTTATTCGTGAAATTACGTTGGCTAAATTCGCTTGGACGCTTTATTAAGGACAAAGTACATATACGGAGGTACATATTCACAAGCGCCTTTTCCACAGTTACTTTACTAGTAACATATTAACATCTGAGTAAATATCAGGAAGTAAAGTTTCTGTCTGCATATTTTTATAACAATATTGTAAATAGGTATGATTATTACTGATAAACAAAATATATGTAATATATAAATGCATCTTGCGTATTATATGTATATTTATTAATCTCAATTATGTATATGCAAGTAGCATATATACATAATTGGGATGAAAGATTAAATAGCATTTTTTTTATATATAAATGAAATTATTGTCACTGAAAATTTTACCATTGAAAATTTTTACACAATTTCAGAGAATAAATGAAAAATAATTTATTCTAATCACATAATATCATTACATGTTGTATAATATTTACACATGAGCATTAGAAAATTCGTAAAGTATTCTCAAATCTAATTAAAAAAAAGATTATGGTAGTTTTATAACAGCATTAAAATTTCTTAACCTAATTTGTGCTATTACGTGAGTAGGCTATTCACAGTAATTATGTCATATGTAATAATAATTACCTATGCTCGAATAAGAATTATGTTTATGTTGATGTAAACTGTACATTGATCACTTAATTAAGTCTGTTAAGTTTAAGTAAAAGTAGTATGATGTAAAGTAACCTTGCAAGTTAAATCG